AATCTGCAACTTCGAATTCAAAACACAGGTGTTCTGAGTATTGTCTGTGTGTGCAAATCGATAGATGCAGCTTTTCACATCAGAGCTGTGAGTATAAATTTCAACTTACAAATACAAATATTAATTTCACAAGATCTCACATTCAAATTAGCAAGCTCTCGAGTTTTGCTACTGTTTTACCTTCATATTTATGTCCCTGATTTTTGCTACGGTAAGTGATTATGCTATTCTATTTCACATGCGTTAAATGACTTCATTCTTTAATTATTACTTTATTATTTAATTATTTCGACTTTATTCTCAAAAGTTACGTTATTCATCTTATCACTCTTGTATTTTATCTCATTTAACAGTGCCCCTAATACGCCGTTGTACTACGCTTACAACAGTCTGTCTTTCTATTAGCGTTAACAGGAGCTAATGATTGCAGCGAAAGCGCAGAGACACGGAAAGAGAATCAGGTAGGCTACGGAGTCGTGGAGCACTAGCCTACTTAAATACGACGGAGGGACCAGATGAAGCACACGGCGCTGGCAGCACAGGGAACTGTAACTGCGAATATGAATGAACCCAGTAAGTGTAACGCGAAACATTGTCTGTGTATGTCACACAATTTTATCATCTCTATATGTAAAGTTGTCTGGGTTTTAAAATCTGTAGCCTAATAGAAGCTGAAGTGAAACGAGGGAGTACAGTTAACTTTGTAAGTCTCAGTTTGCTGTCCGCTCGAATTACAAGTAGGATATTATCGGTATCACTCTCCACAATACACGTGGATCTAAAACGCTTAATGTGAAAAAGCTTAATGTGGTTTAATGTACCAAAATAGCGACCAATAATCACCAAATTTCTCACACATATCCTGTCATAAAGACTTTCACCTGACTAAAAATCAAAACCGAAATACTATAGGAATATGGACTTTACTACCTTAAGCGTTTTCCTTATAATGGGCGTCAAAGGAGGGGAAACGCCCCGAGTTTAAGACAAAAGTTATTTTTACGGAGTAACGGGAACGCCTGTGATAACGTTGTACATTTGCTTCTATTTTATAACGGCGGTATTAGGCTAAAATTTTGGGCTTAGGTTGTCATATTCAACATCATCATGTGATTGAATATCTCTAAGTATATTTTTCTTATGCTTTTAATGTCGACGTGTGCTTTCATTTGCAGACAGTCCGAAAGAGCTCATCTTGTCTTGCCTGGCAGCATTATGCAGGATCCTCTGTATATGCCGGCAGCCCCCCGACAGTGGAGAATGTGACGGTGATTATACTTTTAATGCACTTTGAAAATACCGTACGCTTTTATATTTGTGCAAATTGAATGAAATGTAACAAAAATAAAGTGTATTTATCCGAAGAAAATGAAGATCGGACCATATAATGTATTTAAAGGTAATTTCTAATGAATCCATAAACACTTGACACACATGTACACAGCAGTAATTTGATCTGTATGTGGTTGACACTGATTTATTCACACCAGAGTTACTGCATCCCCCGGTTCAGGAGACTGATTCTGCGCCAAACCGCAGTTCTGTGAAGCCCTGGTTTGACACTGGAAATGGATGCTGTTAATTTCTCATTAAGAAGCTGCTGCCTTCCTTTTCCAACAACCTTCAGAGAAGCTTTTTCTATTAACTATGATGTGAATTTGCCCTTTAAAAAGCGTTTTCTCACCATGAGGCCTCCCTTACTGTGTGTGGCCGTACCTGTGCTCACGTGCCTTGCATATCGTCTAGGGTGCACCGTCCTATGGTACCGAAGAAATGTTTAATGATTTTATCACCGTCCTTTTTGGCATCACCTGAACCGATCAGCTTCTAGTGCCATATCAGCACTATACCATGCTGTTTATTTCTGACGGTTACTATTTTATGCACGGATTTTTATGACTGTCACCATCTCTTTTGGCATCATCTACTCTACTCTTGGTATAGTTCTTTGTAAGCTTTAAAACGGTTTATATGAAATATTATGCAATGCACTCTCAAACTTTGTATTTTTGTAATTTGTTTTTATATAATATATAAATAAATGTTATTTTGAGCTCTTTTCCAGTTTTGTGCCCAGTGATGAATCCCACAAGCATGTCAGAGCAGAAGCACCGTCTGGTCTATTTTGGACGCCTATACAGAGAATCAGAGATCGACCATTTCTTTTAAATAAATTGCCATTTCAGCTATTACTTAAAAAAAAAAAAAAACTGAAGTAAACATGCTACTATATAAGTTCAAGTGGTCGGTTTATAATTTGAAATGTAATAACATGTAATAACATGCTTCTGGGTACTGAGCGGTCCTCTAACTTGTAGGGAAAAATTTGGGGGTTGGTGATGGGATTAGCACTCTAGCCACCATAAAAATCTTCACCCAGCTCCGAAACAGCAGACAGGACTCTTTTCTGCTCTCCGTAGGAGTACAGGAAGGCTGCATGCATCATGAATGGGGGAAAAGCCCTTCAGAGCCCCTTCCCCAGAAGAGGGGAACTGCAGGAGAATGAGGCTGGACCTTGCCAGACTCAACGATCATGCTGTTTCTAATGAGTTAGCATGCAGTTTGTGTGAGGAACTTGCAAATTTGGGTGTTAATGCCAGCCTAATGTGATGTGAGAGACCCAGAAGATTGCTGTTGTGTTGGGGTTCTCCTGAAGATAAAATGCAAATATTGGCAGTTTCTTTGCAGCCATTGTCAATTTTTGTAACGCGTTTGACTGAGTTGGTCATGCTGCCCTGTGTGACATCCTTAGACTTCACGGGATCCCCTGACGTTGCTGGATGTCATGGCCAGCCTGTACACTGGTACTGTGAGTGCTTTGCAGAGTGGAGACACAACCTCCATGTTCTTGCACCCAGTAAGTAATATTCACCGGGCTTGCTACATCCCCCTGGGGGGTATTCTATGAAAGTAGCTAAAGAAAGCCAGACTTTCCCGAAAGTCAGATTCAAACTAGCGCCATCTCTAAAAATAAGAATATTTATAATTTCACACAGTGAACAGGTATGACATGGCATCATGCAGCCTTTATAACACAAAATCACACTATCAAGCAACAGTGACACATAAAAAATAACCACACAATGAACAGGTGCAATTTTGTTAACCACCAACAGTGACTTTAGTGGGTGCATTTTACTTTTTTTCCCGATTTAGTGATATAACAAAAATGACATTTAACGTGGCCTAGGGTTAATTTTGAGGGCATATAACAAAGGAATAAGGTTTTAGCACAAGTTGGACATTGTGAGATGGCAATGGGGCTGATGTTACCTCCTCCAGTATGGAGCAGCCTGCACCTTTACTGTCTATGGTCCGCACTGACGATTCACTTCACTTGCGTGTGGCGAGTTGTTGTAGGTAACCCGGAGTGGTCTTTCAGTGGTATGTGTATTCTCATATAGATCAAATGGAATGGATTCTTTCGCGAAGCAATAGAAACAGCGCTGGGTGACCTAATATTTTATGTTAAATGTGGGGGGGTCCAAACGAATAATTATGAAATGTGAGGGGGACACGTCCCCCCTCAGATTTAATGGCGGCGACGCCTGTGGTTTTAAACATAACTAACCATCCCATATCAAAACTAATAAGTTACACGTGTCTCACAGAAGGTGTATTAAACTCTTCCTGGCGTACAGGCTGGTTGGACCCATCTCAGACAGACTAGGCATTTCACTCACCATATTCATTTCACTTTGAAATGTTCGCCCACACACAATACAGACGTTTCCTGGGCTTCAAAAGTGTCCTAGCGGGCAAATGGACAAATACTGTTACAGCTATCCCAGGCTGTGATAGTCGTGAACAAGGTTACCTTGCAGCTGAGAGCAAAAATATTAGCCTTCACAACTTATATAAAAGATATTTACAACGCTACGTAATAGGTTACAAATTATTTAAGTTTGAATAATGCAAGTACAGAGTTTTTTCCTTATAAATCGAGTGTATTTCACATGTGAAGGAGAACCATCCTGTAACAAAGACTAAACTGAGCATGTATAGAGTGAGTTATGTGATTTGTACCTCGTTTCTGATTTGAGAAATAGACTGTTACAACTAATCCGTGTTGCAATCCTCCCCGGTCCCCATGGACATTATTTCCAGTGAGACACTGAACCCTTACTGTGACTCATTGAGGAAAAAAACAAGACTGAAACCAATACGTCCACGGCGGTGACTGGAGGAGAAGGAGTACAGTAGGGCAACGTTGCATGAAGGCATCCAATAGCAAAAGCTCAAAGAAGAAAAGTGTCATTACTGGCCAGGAGAGGTGCAGAAGACGACCGACTGCGCTGACAGCACATGCAGTGACCTGTTGCTGAATATGAACAAACCCAGTAAGTTCGTACGTGTTCATATGGTGCCACTTTGGCATTATTTTTCACATCGTTTATCTGTCTTTCGACCTCTTAGTGCGGTTATTGTCGTGGGTGTTTGATAGAATTTTGTCTTCCGCCGTACGTCTTAGCACATGCACCGTACCTCAAGTCCTTGACAAAGAATGCTGTGAACTTTATTGATCCTGACTTATAGCTGTCAATATGAAATGAGTCCTTAAACTGCAGCGCTCCTTCGTATCTCTCTGCAGCCCGTCTGGATTTTTAAATCTGTAATAACAGCTAAAAAGAAACGAGGGGGTAAACTTAACTTCGTAACACTCAGTTTGCTGTCCACTCAAATAAGTACGATGGTATCGATATCAGTCTCCGTTTTACACTTTTTTACAGAGTAACAGAAACGAGGGAACACGTGAGATACCGTTGTACATTTGTTTCTATATAAAAGGGCGATATTCGGCTTTTGGATGTAGGATGTCTTAATGAACGTTACATGTGGTTGAATATCTCTAAATATGTTTTTCTTATGGATTTAATGTCGACGTGTGCTTTCATTTACAGACAATCCGATAAAGCGTCCCTCGTCTTTCCTAGCAGCATTATGGAGGATTCTCTGTACATGCGGGCAGCCGCCTGGCAGTGGAGAATGTGACGGTAATTATACTATTAATGCACTTTGAAAACACCTTACGTTTTTATATGTGTGCAAATAGAATGAAAATTAACAAATAGTGTATTTATTCGAAGAAAATGAAGATCGGACCAGATAACGTAGCTAAAAATAATTTCTAACGAATAAACTATATCTGTTACCAGAGTTACTGCATCCCCCGGTTCAGGAGACTGATCCTGCGCCAAACCGCAGTTCTGTGAAGCCCTGGTTTGACACTGGAAATGGATGCTGTTAATTTCTTAAGAAGCTGCTGCCTTCCTTTTTCTCAACTTCTAGACGCAAGTTTTTGCTATGGACCACAATGCGAAATAGTTTAAATAAATGGTTATCCAAGAAATGTTTAATGGTTATGTCGTCAACCTGTCATCCTGTTTGGCTTCACCGGAAATGATCAAATTCTAGTGCCGTATCAGCAATATACCATGCTGTTTATTTCTGACGGTTACTATTTTATGCACGGATTTTTATGACTATGCATCGTCTGAAGACTCTGAACTGGTCATGATTCAGTTCTTCGTAAGCTTTAAAGCGATTTATATGAAATATTTCATGTAATGCACTCTCTCAAACTTTGCTTTTCATGTTATATCTAATAAATATTTTGAGCTGTCGTCCAGTTTTGTCCCCGCTGAGGAATCCCACGTCAGTTACCGGTCTATATCTTATCTTATTACGAACCAGCGTGTCGCAGCAGGAGCGCCGTCTGCCTTATTTCGGACGCCTGCACGTCGACCATTTCTATTAAAGAATAAATTGCCGTTTCATTACTTTTAACAAAACGGAAGTAAACATACTAGTATAAAGTTCAAGTAGTGGTTTATAATTTAGAAATAATAAAGTGCAATAATGTTAACAGCTGTTAAGCACGTTTTCCCATTTCTGTCAGAGAACTTCTCACTTGAAGAGAAAGTCACACACACGGTAATGTACCCAATAAATACAAACCCGGGTTCGGCATACCCCCGCTTCAAGAGACTCATCCTACACCGGATTATTATCGTTCACGAAAAACATTTTCACAAACAGAAAAAGATAGGCCTACGTAAAATTACACAAACACTAAAACTAAACGAAAACCGTAAAAATTGACCGGCATAAAATAAAATAACGAACGTGAACACATTCAGTTTTTTTTTTCACCACTAACTGACATAAAATAAGAACAAAACGTCAAATATCCTACTTTCCGTCACCGTTTTAATTCAGCCAAAGCGGTGATTTTTTTAGCCTAAATAATACTAAATATTATTTTATCTGGAACATGTTTTTACCCTTTTAAAGACAATAGTACATGATGTAGACCTATAGGCTACTGCGTATTCCTGTAGGAATATCTAAGGATCAGACACAAAATAGCGCTACAACATTCAATCCACCCCTTTCAAGCTTGAAATGGAAGCATAATTTATATTTAAATAACTAAATAGAAATTAATATCTTTAACATAAACATCTAAAAAGACCACACTGAAATGTAACTTCAACTAAACTGTATTCCAAATTAAAATTGAAAATAAATTAAAAACGAAATAAAAATAATCCAAACTGGAATGATACCGCTTCGGGGCTTATACCTTGTCGTCCATTTCATCATTAACTGAATTTCCCGGAGGAACCTTCCCGAGGGATTAATAAAGTGCTATTTAATCTAATCTAATTTCAGATACTTATACAGAGATCAGTAATTTATACTAAATAATAAATGGGAATTAAGTAAACTGAAATAAAATACTGTAATTTCAAGTGGTGTTTCTACAATTTATGAACTCTACCCTGGCTGTTATCAGTGCACCTGTTGATCCTCTGAGCCAAGAGGAATGGGAGGTGCACGGTTCTGGAGCCACTGGAGCAGGTCACTGTGGAGATCAGTGCAGACAGGTACAGTGTACAAATGCTATTACATTATTATTATTATTAATATTATTATTATTCAATTATATTTGTTTTTAGTTGCATTATTTGCATGAAAAGTAGATTA